ATAGAAATTATATACAAATGTATATTAGTTACATAGTAGTTCAAATAAATAAAAGCAGGACTGCTTAAAAAAAAAAATAATAAATAAAGAAACATTAAGAAACATAAAAAAACATTATAAAGAAATATTATAAGTATAGATTTACAAGCATTGTAAATCCATTCTAGTTTATCATTTGTCACTTCTTGGCTTATCTTTGTTTATCAATTGCTGGTTATCCATTAGTTCATTTATTGTGTATTATAGCTTGTTTTGATCGTCATAGTTTTCTGGTTCTTTTGAGAACATAATCTTTAATATGTTCTTAGGCGTTTTATAACATTATATTTAAATTAGTCATATTTCTTGAGATTATATAGAGTGCTTCATATTAAAAAGACTTATTTTAAAATTTTTTGAAAAATGAGTTTTTAATAGATTCAAGTAAATTTTAATTTGATTGATATTAAATAGAAATAATGTAAAAAAAAAATTATATAAAGCTGTCTAAGGCCAAGCATATTACAAGATTACCTGGCAGTAATTTGCTATCTTTAATTAATCAAAATTGTGAAATTTGCTCAATCTTAAATTAGTTCAAAAATTAAAACAAATTATTAAACTCAATTATCTCAAAATAAGATATATGCCCAAATAGGCCTTTTTAATATGAGATACTCTATATACCAATCATGTAAAGTAATATAAAATTAATTTTCACTATAACTACATAATATAACTATTATTATATTTCTCTTACTATAGTTATATTAAGTTTCTACCAGACAGTGTGACTATAGCAGGAGTAAACTATATATTAAATATATCAAATATATCAAATATATCAAATATATCAAATATATCAAATATATCAAAATGTTTACAACTCTTTCTGATGATCACTTGAACCAAATTTTGCTGAAAAAACTTTTTAACAAAAACAGTAAAAACTAACTAGCCAAACTACATAAGACATAAAAAGAGAGACCATAAGTTAGCACTTGTCGTTTAGAGGTAGTTCTTATATGCTACCTGCTAACAGGCTTAGAGTTTATCACTTACTGCAAACCCGGCACTTGTCGTTTAGAGATAGTTCTTATACACTATCTGCCAACAAGTTCAAAGTTTATCACTTACTGACAAAATACGAGTAGCGCAGTTCTGGCTAAAAAGAAGACTATTTTTGTTGTTTTTAGTAACTTACTTTCCTTTAAGTAATATCAAGAGGTCTTTCTCTCTTCGTTGTTTTGTACTGGTTCTACTAAAATTTTTCAATAAAAAGTGGGCATTTTGGCTTACCCTCCAAAAAATTAGCATTGTTTACACCTACCAAATCGAGATGAACTTAGTAGAATGCAACCACGTGTTTTGTTGTTTTGCGAATACGGTGCTATGGTATAGGGAAGAGATCGTCACTCCCGTTTAGAATATATCCAAGTCAAGTCAGTATCCGGAACAAGTCCCAAAGCTAAACCGTCAGTTTACAATTGTGATATAGTAATTAGTTGCAGTTATTATATAATTTTTATTCTTATGCCTGACACGGGCTATAATAGTATATCATAGCTACCTTTTTTTTTTTTCGCTTTTTTTATCTTTGTTCATTTATGTTAGACTATTTTAGAATTTGTTGAAAAGTTTTTTTTTTCTCACTATGAGGTGTTTATTTTTCTAAAATGTTTATGTCTTACATAAACATGGCTTCATTTTTTCACTTTTATGTACGAATAAGTGTTTTAATTATTGTTGTCAGGCTTAGGTAGAAGAAGTCTGAAAAAAGAAAAAGATGGTCATAATAGGTAGCAAGGTCCACTGTTGAGAGCCGGGTCATATCCAAGTGCAGGAGGGGTCCGAAAGGAGGGCATTTTGCTATAGCAGGTTGAACATAGATACCAAGTTGATAACCGGGTTAGTCTTAACTTGTAATTTAAATAACAATTTGGGCTACAGTGCTTGTCGTTTAAAGATAGTTTTTATACACTATCTGCCAACAAGTTAAGAGTTTATCACTTACCTTCTGAAATGCTCGGTTGTAAAATTTTACATATTTTAGATGAGTTGTACAAAGCCTAATAAAGTTAAGGCATAACTGCCGAATTTTAAAAAAAAATATATATATATATATATCAAATATATCAAATATACCAAACATATCAAATATATCAAATATATCAAATATATCAAATATATCAAATATATCAAACTTATTGTAATACTGAATTTTTTATTATAAATAAAAGCCATGAAGGCTCTAAGAAAAATAAGTTCCATTTGCTTACAATTATTGTTTCTAAATAAAACTATCTAATTGACCCAATATAACTTTTAAGTACCTCTAAAATAACTAAATAACTCATTATACTAAATATTCTGTACCTAAATCAATTACTAAGTACATAAGTGAAAAATCTTCATTCATTAATTGTCTTGCTTATGTGACTTTAGAAAAGATTATTTCTGGTTGATTCTCGATATACTGAGGACTGCCATGGTTTTCCAAATATCCAATATACTATAAACAAGTTGTAGTTATTACTTCATTCCAGTTTTAAGCTCTAGTGAAAGAACTCAAGCTGTAGTTTGATAAAAATATTGTATATTGACAATATAAATGTTAGTGTATTATAAATAAGTTTTAAAATAAGTTTCAAGAAGATATATCTATATTCAAAATCATACTTGCCCAAATCTAAACGCCTTTTTGACTAAGCCAAACAAAGATTATACAAAATCTTCATTTAATTAGTGCTATTTTTAGTTAGTACTAGGCAAATTTTTAATAAATTTAGATTGAATATAGTTCGATCTAGTTAAATTTTTAAATATATAGTTGAATTTTAAAGGCTGTTCTGATTTGGTATTAAATTTATTAAAATTCAACTTAGTCGAATTTCTAATTTTCGACTAGTAATAGATTAGTAAATAACTTGGACTCAAAGCCTATTTCTGAAATATTTAGATTTAATAAATCATAAACCGAGGCTTTGTTTCTTCCTTACTTAGCTCCATTGAATTTTTCAAATTCATTTTCAATATAACAGTTTTTATATTATATAATGAATTAGACTGTTCTGATCTGAAGATAAATCTTGAAATCTAAGCTTCTTTTTCTAATTTCTTTTTCTTATTTTATTACTAATCTGTTTTTTATATACCCAATTCAGAAATTCAATTTATCTTTTAACTATTTAAATTCTGCATGAATAGATAATAGAGTATTGAATCTTCTACCTCTAATATACATTAGCATTATTAGTTATATTAAATTTAAAAGTATTATCCTCTAATGATTTTATAACAAGATTGGGTATATTAACATCATTTTTTGGATAAATTATCGCCATTTTCTAATCTATATATGTTAGAGAGCTGACAAAAATTAGATGATTTTTTAGAGAGGGAGAAGATAAAAAAAGTTAAAATTATATATAAGGAATCTGATTATTTGTATATTAAGAAAGAGGGAGAGAAGGTAGGCCTCTGATAAAAAATAATTAGGTAATTAATGACACAGCCCTTATTGTTTTGCTTTTGCTTCAATTTTGCAAATTGTTCTTCATTTTCTTTTGCTAACTATTCTAGTTTCATGATTCTTGCATTAAGCTTAGCATCTCTTAACTTTGCTTTCTTAGCATTTTCTTCTATAATTTGGTTTAGCTCATTTTATTTTTTTACTATTTGTTCTAATTCTGCAATCCTAGTCATAAGCCTAGCATTTTCTAGTTTTAATAAGCCAACTTTAAATAAATCTTTAGATTTGTCTTTTTGAGTTTGCATATTTAATATTAATTTATATAACATTTGAAAAAAAATTTTACTATATATGTTTTGAAAAATATTTTTTCTTGATAGTTAATATTTTTTATTCAAATAAAAAAATTATATGCATGTAATAATTTGTTACACTGATTACTTTTGCCAAGAAAAATTGTGTTAAAAAATTATTATATGTTTATTGTTTTTAATATCTTATATTTACATTATATAGCATGATTTCATGGTTTATAGAATAAAACAAATTAATTTTTATAGTTCAAATATTCATAGTTTAAATCTTTATAGACAAAATCTTTATATATAACTTCTGTATCTTTTTACATTGAAAGATTTTCTGAAACCCAAATCCAATTCTAAATTGTAGGTACATTACTAATAGGATCAAAAAGTATTAATTTTTTTAGCTTTCTTGTTTGTTTTTTAAGTCCATCCTAAAAATAAAAACATAAAAATTAGACTAAAGTTCCTACAATATCTATAACATATATATAGAAAATACTCACTATTAAAGCACATAATAGTTCAAAGACTTCTATGAATTTTTTAACTTCATCAAAAGAAAACAGTAACATAGCAAACTTAATCTGCAAGATCTTATAAAAATGCTTCTTATTAAGACAGGCTTTGGCTTTATTTAATGTAATTCAATCGCCTAACATGAATAACAAAAATAAGATTTATATGGATTAAAAGAAATTATAATTATATAGTAGTAAGTATATTACTTATACATTGTACCATATATACATATATGTTTCTTGCTTTTTCTGCATTTTTATCTAAGTATCCTCTAAGCAAAGAAATCAAACCAAACATAGCCTCCTTAATGAGTTTTTTAGTATCTCCTTTGATGTGTTTTAGAACAGCATTCTCCAGTCCTCCAGATACTTCAATAAATATGATTTTTTTATTGCTTAAAACCTTAGAACCAATTCCATCAACTTTATTTAGTATGAAATCGAATTCTGGAAACAACCCTTTTATATCTTTTATGCAACTTGCTTGTATTTTGATTTAATTAAATGAATACTCTCAATATACCAATTAAATTACCTTGAATAAAAGCACTATCCTATTCATAGTATATTTCTTTTCTCTGATAAAATGATTTAATGAGTCTTTATTAGTCATGAAAAAACTATTTTAGACAAGATAAATTAGCCAATTGTGCTAAAGGGGCATAAAAACTATGATAATATACTCACAAATCATATAAAATTATTTTGCAGACTTGCTGAAATAGATGAACTAGAGTTGAATTTAGTAGAGCTATAATATTACTTTCAAACCCATCTTTTTCTGACTAGTAGTTAATAAATTTTTTTTAAATAATATTTAATATAAGACCCAAAAAGATTTATATCTACTTATTGATAAAACATTTACAATCCAAATATGAATTTTTTTTGGAATTAGATTAACATGATCTACCTTTATTATCACACATTAATTGTTAACATTGACTGAAAAATATTTAGCCAGGTGTTGCATAGTGTGTTTGTAAAGGATTGGCTTTTCTGAGATTATAATAGTTACTTTACGAGGTCTCATAGGTGGTGTTTTGGGCTAATTATCTCTCTCAGACTTGCGTTTTTCTGGGTGATTTAAAATATTTGACAATGTCATTATAGATGCATCAAAGATGTATTTGCCTAAATAGGTATAAATAAATCAATTCGCCAAGGTTTAAAAATAAGAAAACATACAGTAAATTATCAAATTATTGTTGTCAGATTTGTATAAACTGCAGAGATCTTGTTCTTGAATATTAAAAACTTCCTGTTGACTAGCGGTCGTGCCTTCTAACATGCGCAAGATACTATCAGCCTTATAACACAGTTATATTAATAATTAAGATCATTATATTGAAACTAATACTCTAAAATCAATATTAGTTGTATATTAGAATCCCAACACACAAAATCCTGGCATAAAATCTTAGCAACAAAATTCCAATATACAAAATTCTGCCAAAATCTTAACAATACTACTGTTAATATATTGGTATAGTGCAAGACATCTAGTTATATCACAAAATAATTGCTTGCAATAAAAGTTTAATAACTTTTTAAAAAAATAAACAATTAAAAAAAATTTTTCTATAATAATATTATTTAAGACCCAAAGAATATTAGTATAGAGAGTTTTTTTTAAAAAAGCTCTTTTATTAAAAAGTTATTTTGGATTAAAATTTCTTTAATTTATTAATATTTTAAAAAATTCAGCACCTTATTTTATTAGTAAATATAAAAAATTCAGCATTTATATTATAAATAGATTAATTAATATATAAAATTTTTTTTCAAACTTTAATTTCTCTTTTTTTTATTTTTTTTTTTATTCAATCTCTCTTAAAAATTTCAGCACCATTGAATATTATCTCTTAAATTGTAATACAGGCAAATTTGCCTGCGAAGATTTTTATTACTTTTTTTAACATTTAAATTTTTTAATAAAATTTTAAATATTAATTTTAGCTATATACTTACTAAGTAAAAAATATATTTTAAAATCT